TTTTTTTTTTGAACATTCGAAATAATTTTTCATTTTTACAACGCATAACATTTGTAGTAATCGGGGCAATATTTTAGTGTTCTTAACTTTATTACTAACCACTGCTCTAATCTGATACCGACTGATTGGTATAGCGGAGGCAATAAAAAGCAATAAATTAATTGGTTGATTTTTCTGACAACATAAAAATAAAAAAAAAAAACTAAATAAAAAATTATATATGATTAACAGAAAGAAAAAATCTGTTAAGCTTAAAATAAAACTTAAGTAGAGAAAGATTCCAGTACTGTATTCTAATTGTACAGTTAAAATTAAAACAGAAAAACCAATCATTTTGGAAAGCAAAATTAGTTCAGATGAAAAATTCAAGTAAAAATGATCGAATTCTCAAAAAAAAGAACAATTGCAAACAAATATACGAAAAAAAAAACCGGCATATATTATACTCGCAATGCAACAACTTTGGTTAAACTACTAACTTAAAACTTGTGGCTATTAGACGGTAAAAAAGTCACTTTTAGCATGGTTTTGTTATGAATCATTCACCACACTTCAACACTATTCACGCGTTTCTATAATTTTCCAAAATTATCATTAAATTCACGTATAAAGTGACAGAAAAAACTGAAACTTTTAAGATCAACGATTCTTTAACAGCAGATCAAAAAAAAAAGGAAAGAAAATCAAGATTCTTTAGCAGCACTCATTTGCTGTATATAGTGTTATGTATCTGTTCTCGATGTATTAGGGCATAGTTCATTCCAGCAGAAAGAGTATGTTTCAATTACCCATTAACAGTGATTAAAATTTCAAAAATAAAAGCAAAAAAACAAAAAAAATTCCCCTTCCAAAACTTTGTGCAATCCCTTTTCAACCAACAAAGGTCATCACCATTATCACCATCATCACCGTCATCGACGTTACCGTCATCGGTATCGGTAAAAGTAATAACAGCATCAGGTTGTAACGATCTTCTACTACCACAGTCATCAATACCAATTTTAAAACCACCCCACCACCATTACGGTCACCAGTAGAAGTAGCAGAAGCAGAGCGAACACCAACAATCAAACTACCGACAAGTGGATCATTAAACATAAAACTATGTGTTAGTTTTATCAAATTTTCATTTCCTTTTCTTCTTTTTTTTTTTCTCTCCGTTCTCAAATGCTCAATTAATAGAACTAAAAATATGTTCATCTTGATAGAATCTATTGTTTGCTTTTTTTTTCCTCCTTTTTCTTTTTTTTTTCTGAATTTCCTTTCCAATTTTGATTTGAAAACGATTATCAACCAGTTTTGGAAGCAACAAAAAAATTTATCGCCTAACTATATTGAACTTATGACTGACAGACCAAAATATATATAGCATCATTCTCCTCTTCTCCTCGCCTCCCCCAGCCCTACCCCTCAAAAAAAAATCATTGTATTCGATTTTAAAGTATCACCACTTATCGTTTTTAGTTTAATCGTAAAAACAATTAACACATTTTATAAATGAAACCAATAAAAGCAACAACAACCAAAAAAAAAAAAAAAAAAAAAAAAAAAAAAAGGGAAAAAAGAAAAAAAAAAAAAAAAAAAAAAAAAAAAAAAGAAAAGAAAGCAAAATTTAAAATATCCTCCATTTTTCACATCTCTAAAACAAAATAATTTATAAAACCAGCAATAATAATAAATAAATAAACAAATAAAATAGAAAGCAAAAAAAAAGTGAAAAAAAAAAGAAAAGAATGAATAAAAGAAAAAAGTTTTTTTTTTTTTTTTCAGACAAAACAATTTTTTTTTCCAAACTGCAAAAATGTTTTTTCCAACAATTGTCACTACTGCTGCCGAACCAAATGCTGAACTGATCCGACGAGGAATCGCCAACATAATTTGTTGAAACATAATGATCAAAAATAAATTCTCAGATACGTTCAGCCAAGAAAAAAAAGTTTCTTTTTTTTCACCTATACACTGTTTTATTTTCCTTTTTTCTCCGCTTCAATTCTTCCACTTTTTCTTCTCCTTTTTTTTT